TCTTGCGGGTCTGTCTTGTAGGACACTCTTGTCGGACACTCTTGTGGGACACCCTTGCGGGGCACTACTACTAAAGTCTCCTCGCGTCTCGACAGCTAGCGCTTCTCACAAGATTTGCGCCAAAAGTCACACGTCAAGTCTGCAAAACGAGCGTCTCGTATGAGACTTCTTCCAAAATGCACTTGTCAAGTCTCCAAAACCAGCGTTTCCCACGAGACTTCTTCAAAAATGCGCAATTCAAGTCTGCAAAACGAGCGTTTCGTACGAGACTTCCTCCTAGATTCACCCGTCTAGTCTCCAAAACAAGCGTTTCGTACGAGACTGCCTCCAAAGCTCACGTGTCAAAGTCTCCAGACTTGAGCACACACACGTCAAGCAGCCCTGCCGAGCAGTCTCGCCTCCAAAAACACCCGCTCACACGTCAATCCCAAAACATTCACCTCCACCACAACTCGCAACCTCAGGGTTCCCTGCGCCTGCCAAGAAAATTTGCACGCCCACACCTGTAACATGAACAAAGTACTGCGCCTGCCGCGAAATGTGACCTCCACCACACCTCGCAACCACACGATTCCCTGCGCCTGCCATGAAAAATGCACTCCACACTGGCGCCAGCCCACAAACGCCTATCCCAATGCGAATGCGCAGAGAATTCACCATCTCACAAAATGCTGCGCCTGTTCCTCCACACTTCATCCTCTCACGTTTCCACACATGTCCTCGCTATTTCACACGAATCTGACCCGTAACGCTTCCATCCAAAACCCCCCAAGAGCTTCCCCCAACACGAACGGTCGCGAATGGTTGACAACGGTTGCGGTCATTCAAACAACGAGTCACGAACAAGGCCCCTATTACCCCCAGAATTACACCAGAACCCTTCGCTACGCATTCGAGAAAAACACGAACTCGCAAAACAAATGCCCAAACATTTCTTGACACTCTTGTAGGACACTCTTATGGGACGCTCTTGTGGACTCTCGCGCAACACTCTTAGCGGGACCCTCTTGTTGTGGGACACTCACGTACGACACTCACGTACTCAGACGTAGTTTGGCCACGTAAGTTCACAGTTCTTAGGCAGAAGCTGCTTTGCGCACTACATGTCTACTACCAAGTGGCGAGTTCTCGCCACAGCCACAGCAGAAGTCTCTGGCCGTGCTACATTTGGGCCAATGCTACCAAGTGGCCTGTCCTGAAGACACAGATCCCATGCCGCGCTCTTGCGGGACACTCTTGCATGACACTCTTGCGAGTCACTCTTGTAGGACAATCTTGTCGGACACTTTTGTTGGACACCTCGTCGGACATTCTTGCGGCGCACGGTTGTGGGACACTCTTGTAGGACACTTCTGTAGGGCACTCGTGTGGGACACCTTTGTAAGACACTCTTGCGGAACACTCTTGTAAGACACTCTTGTCGGCCACTCTTGTCGGACACTGTTGTGGGACACTCTTGTAGGACACTTTTGCGGGACACCCTTGTAGGACTCTTGTCGGCCACTCTTGTGGGGCACTCTTGTCAGACACGCTTGCGGGGCACTATTGCGGAACACTGTTGTAGGACTCTCTTGTGGGGCGCTCTTGTGTGCGCGCACTCTCTAGTGGGACACTATTCCGCGCAATTGCGGGACACCTTGTATGACACTCACTCTTGTGGGCCATAGCGGACCACTCTTGTAGGACACTCTTGTGGGACACTCTTGCAGGACACTCTTGTGGGGCATTCTTGTGGGACACTCTTGCGGGACACTTGTATAACACTCACTCTCGTGGGACACTACTCTTGCGGAACACTGGGGGACACTCTTGCAGAACACTCCTGTCGGACACTCTTGCGGAACACCCTTGTAGGACACTCTCTTCTGCGACGCCCTTGTATGTCACTCTTGCGGGACACTCTTGTAGGACACTCTTGTCGGACACTCTTGTTGGGCACTCTTGTCAGACACTCTTGTGGGACACTATTGCGGAACACTCTTGCAGGGCACTCTTGTAGGAAACTCTTGCAGGGCATTCTTGTCGCACTCTTGTGGAAGGACACTCTTGTCGGACACTCTTGTGGGTACTCTTGTAGGATTCTGTAGGACAGGACTAGTCTGCAAAAGTCAACTGTTATGTCTCCAAGCTCCAAAGGTCACACCTCAAGTCCGCAAAACGAGCGTCTCGTACGAGACTTCTTCCAAAATTCACTCGTAAGTCTCCAAAACAAGCGTTTCGCGCGAGACTTCCTCAAAAACTCACACTTGAAGTCTGCAAAACGAGCGTTTCGTACGAGACTTCCTCCAAGATTCACCCGTCTATAGTCTCCAAAACGAGCATTTCGTTCGAGACTGCCTCGAAAGGTCACATGTCAAAGTCTCCAAAACGAGCGTTTCGCGCGAATTCCCCCAAAAGTCGCGTGTCAAAGTCTCCAGAACGAGCACTTCGCTCGCACGAGAATTCACACACATCGAGCAGCCCTGCCAAGCAGTTTCACGATTCCAGCCCCTCCAAACAACACCCGCTCACACGCCAACCCCAATGTCACAACGACATTCACCTCCACCACAACTCGCAACCTCAGGGTTCCCTGCGCCTGCCAAGAAAATTTGCACGCCCACACCTCTAACACGCACAAGGTACTGCGCCTGACACGAAATGTGACCGCCGCCACGCCCCGCAACCCCATGATTCCCTGCGCCTGCCACGAACATTAGCACTTCCACCCCTGCGCCTGCGACAAAAAAGTGACAATATCATGTTAGCTTCAGAAAAGTTTGCACCACACTACATGTTCGGAATGATTTCGACACATTCTGAGCACACTCCCATCCACCAAAATCGCCATTTGAGCTGGACCTGTCACGAAAACACAGCTTCGAAGCTACACCCTGAAACGCAAATCCCAATGTCACAGCCACATCCAACACCCCAAAAACACTATACCCTCCAAATGCCAATCCCAATGTGACTGCGCAGAAAACTCACCATCCACAAAACGCTGCGCCTGTGCAGTGATTTCATCCTCCACACATCATCCTCTCACGTTTCCACACATGTCCTCGCTATTTCACACGAATCTGACACGTCATGCTTCCATCCAAAACCCTGTCCAAAAGCTTCCCCCAATGTGAGCGCCATAGCGCCCTACTGCGAACGGTTGCAACGGTTGCGGTCGCTCAGACAACGAGACCCCCAGACCCCCAGAGTTAAACAAGAACCCTTCCCTACGCATTCGAGAAAAACTCCAACTCGTCCAGCCTGGAGACTTCAGTCTCTCCAAGGGCAAAGCAAGGGGAAAAGTGGTGTCAGTGCTTTGGAATCAGTTGGGTATGGACGGTATGGGTATGAATTTGTGCGCAGTTCTTGCAGCTTTGGCTTTAGCCAGCAAAACCGTAGTGTGATGGTGCATTTTGGCTTGCTTGGTAGACATTTCTGCCAGGCCCGTAATGATTGTTGTTTGTTTCTGAGTGTTGCCGTATCCAGATTCTGCCTCATAATGATTCTCAAAAAAGTTGGGCCACAGAACCGAGACGCTGCAAGAATGAAAATGGATAACTTCTTCGTCGTCTTCTTGGACGTCAATCTGAGATCCAAAATAACGAACACTTACTGCAGTATGTGCAACAGCTGCAAAATGGCTATTTCCTGATACGCTACTGTTTTCTGCGCGACTCTGGCTCCCAAGTTGAGAGCCGTTATACCTTGGTAAGCCAGGGGCACTGGACACCTGGGTCTCTATATTGCCTTTGATCTTCAACATCCACAATTCCAAGAGTTTGGATTTGCATTGCCGTCTGAAACCCATTAATGGTCTTTCTCTACTTAGAAAAATGCCAGCTGCTTGCACAAAAGCAAAATGTCTTGAGGAGTGTACGAACAGGCCTGATTTGGGCTTAAGGTCCTCAAGGCATAAAAGAGTGAGTGGGCCGTCCAGCGTCTTCAATGAAAGCCTCACCTGGGCATCGAAGCAAATGATATCGTCCTGACAGTAACAGCAAGCAATCCAAATTATACCATCATCATTGTCCCAAACAGCTAGCAATCAGCCGCAAAGTAAGAAAACTGAAAAAAAAACATATATATATATATATAAGCACTTCCGAATATTGCTGCAACGTTAATCCAGTACCTAATATGGAGACAAACGAGGGAACCAAAAGTGGAGACAAACACGGAAAAAATGTCGAGTCGTGGCGCTAATCGAGACAAGAAAGGAATCATGTCGTGGTCGCAACCTAATGGGGATCACATTCAAACATGTTCATATGATGTTGTGACAAAAAATGTTTCTATGCAAAAAATGACAGCCCCCCGCAGCTCTTCTTTGGAAGAACAAGAAGGCAAAAGCTGCCGAGGTTCTCGCAATTGAGGTGCCGTGATTCGATTGCATGAAATGGAAACCTACTCTATTCTCTCTCAGTGTCGTCCTTGCTTGCATGGAGGACATCGTGCTTTCCTGGCACACATTGTTGAAATATTGAAAAATTTGCGTCAACCATGTTCAGGAAAGTTGACAAACAACAAAAATGATGGTGCACAGCAAAGCAACATTATACGCTGCTCATATTTGTGGCCTATAAGCACCGTCTTGTTTGCGTGCTATTGCGTGCTCTTGGCAATAGGTCCTGCCTCCGCTCTTTGGCCTGATCCAAGCGAAACACACTGCATGCAGGGACATGACTGCAGCAATATGCATTTGATCCTCCCTCGATTTTGTGCTCCTTTGGGTTTCCCACAATGAGCCCCACTGTAAAATGTTTTTGCCGTCTTTACACTTCGGCAAGATTTAAAGGCGCAGGCTTGATTGCTGCTGGCCATTTGAAGGGCAGCTTCTCCGACCCACTCAGAGGAAGCGCGAAAACAGTTGGCTTGACAGTGGCTCAGGAAGGCCTCAACTTTGTGTTTTCATGTCTCATGTACAAAAACCTGACAACTGTCAAGCTGTGGCAGCGAATCTTAGTTGAGCCTCATCTTGCCACTTTCTTGTCAAGTTCCGAACAGGAATGATTCGCACTCCCTTTGGGAATGCGGATGGCACTGAGTTAGAAATTGGAGTGTCAACCATGTCAACAGCTTTCCAGACCCTCGTGTTTGTGCGGTGTTGCTACTTCCACAACTACCGGTTCTGAACCCCACAGATCCAAAAAGCTAGCAACACGAATATCAAGAGACTACAATCCTTTACCTTTGCACTGAAACTCACTCAGGAGGCATAGCCGCCACCGAGACGAGGTTGATGCAGTAGCCTAAAGTGCTACACGACGCAGCAGCAGCAGCAGCAGCAACAGTAACCGAGGCTCATGGAACCTTGGGTTTAGTTCACATGGAGTTAAAAACGAAACATTTCAATCTTTGTCCTCTAGCCTACAGTTCTTGTGTGTGTGTCCCACCATCCACAATGTCATAAGCAGGAGGCAACGGCCAGTCTTCCTACGTTGCCCAACGAAGCTACGGAAGACTGGTGGAAGCATTCAGGGACGCCTGAATGTGTACCTGCTGAACTTTTCCACACGCTGTGACACCACTCTCCTCGTTTTGATTCATGATCTTTTCATGATACTCCCCATAAACCTTTTTCCTGCCGCGTTTGCAGCTGAGCCACCGCAGCCTTCCGCAGTCACGAGTCAACATTGTTAAACATTTCGGTTGAGCTGATCTTGCGCCATTCCGTTCCCTCATCTTTTTGACGTGGAACTGAGTTAACTGCAAACCCTATGACTAAGTGTGCGCCGCTCTGTCGTCCCACTGGGTGCAGTGTGTGATCTCCCGCAAGGGAGCGCTGAGATCATTGGGAATCACATACTGACTTTGCGTTTTTGAGCTCTGGAATATGATCTTGGATTGAATCGTTTCACCCATGAATCTTCTGACCCCAATGCTGCCGAGCTACGGAGTTTTGACGCCACCGGGCTCACGGATCATTTGTTTTCAGCAGTGCTTTCAAGGTTCAAGTGTGGTTTTCCGCATCTTTCTAGGTTTCATCCGATCCACGTACGCCGACGCATTCTAATTCAACCGAATCAATTTTCCAGAAATTGATTCAGTGAATACATTTTCACTCCTGGATTGATTTCACGTTCTTTTCTTCTGCTGCCGCCCCGCCCTGCTGCGGTCGCCGCCTGCAGCTGCCGACAACAGCGCGTTGATTGCATTGAGCAGCATGCATTTTCCTTGGCCATACCCCTATGCTCCACAGCCACCACCACTGACGACATCACAACCTTTTCCACCCCAACCCACGCCGCGCCATTTGGTCCCAAGGCTGTCACACGCTAAGTGGCCTCCTCATCCCACTATACATCCGCCCACCACACATCCGGCACCGCCACTGCAACATGCACCAGCGCCCAGCTTTCCGGCGCCCTACTGTTTCCCCATGGCAGCACCTACCTTCAGCCACCTCCACCCCCGCCGCTCACCCCACAGCTGCCGCCCCACAACCTACTACTCTCACATGGGATCCCCACGACCCAACCCCCAACCACTGCTCCGGCGGTCGTGGCCTCCGCGCCCGCTACAAATGGGGATTCTGCAAGGAATTCACCATCCCGTACGGCCTTGTCCACCTGAAAGAGAAAAAACAGTGGCATAAAGGCAGAACCATCATCTCCTACTACCACTCCCTCGCAGGCAACCTTCTCCGCATCACTAGCAGAGCACTGGACATCATTCTCCAACACCTTTACCCACAACATCCTGGCCAACTCTCCATCCCTCAGTTATGGCAACATTTCCACACCTATCTAACCCAAGTCCCTACTGACATCACCCTCCACGCAACCAACGATGACCTTGTTGGCTTCTTCAGATCCGTCCCCCAACACCGCCTCATCGACGCGGTCCACAGCTTAGTCCAACACTGGCAGCAACAGCAATCAACCCACACCATCACCATTGACACCCACGCTACAGGCAATCCGTATCATCATTCTCACATTGGACGCCATCACTACAGGCGTCCTACACAATGCACCCTCCACACTGCCGGACATCGCAACCATTGTGACCTTTGCGCTCAACACATGTATTTTCCGGGCATGCAACACTTACGTGGCGCCGGGATTGGCTCCCAGCTGTCACCTGCCCTATGCAATGCGGCTACCACCCTTATTGAACACTCCTGGCAACAACTCCACAACAACTTCTTGCGCAACACCAATTTCCATTTCAACTACTACCGCTACGTCGACAATCGTTTCATCACCCACAACGAGCACTTCCTCTCACACCCAGCTAGCTGTTCAGACCCTCGTTCACCACGACTTCTTTGGCGACCCCGTGGAACATTGAGACCGTTGAAGATTACCACGTCCTGGGGTTCAACATAGATCTCACCCAACGCGCAATCACTTACATCCAACCCACACAATCCTGGAAAATCCGGGGCGCCAGCAGTGCCGGTAGCAAACGCCTCACACTCTCCGGCCTTGCATCACGACTACACACCATTTACGCTTATACCTTTCCAATAACAGCGGCAGACGCAGCAGCTGAACAGCTTGTTCACCTCTATGTCCAAAAAGGACACGCAGCATCAGACTGCAAAAAAGACAGCTGTCATCTTTCGGAGCGCCGCTAAGCGGCTACGTGTGTGTGTGTGCGTGTGTGTGTGCGTGCGTCACCCTCCGTCTCTAGGAGCTTTGATTCCCACCATCCACAATGTCATAAGCAGGGGGCAACGGCCAGTCTTCCTACAGTGCCCAACGAAGCTACGGAAGACTGGTGGAAGCATTCAGGGACGCCTGAATGTGTACCTGCTGAACTTTTCCACACGCTGCGATGCCACTCTCCTCGTTTTGATTCATGATCTTTTCATGATACTCCCCGTAAACCTTTTCCCTGCCGCGTTTGCAGCTGAGCCACCGCAGCCTTCCGCAGTCACGAGTCAACATTGTTAAACATTTCGGTTGAGCTGATCTTGCGCCGTTCCGTTCCCTCATCTTTTTGACGTGGAACTGAGTTAACTGCAAACCCTATGACTAAGTTTGTGTGTGGGGGGGCCGTTCAGTGACCGTCTTCTCCAATTTTGTTTGGTTTGACTGGGTTTGTTGTCAGATCCAGTGGCAACTTTGCTCGAGCTCGAGCTGTCAAACGCCAACTTGATTCACGCGAAGCAAACTCAAGAGTGTCCCGTTGAAACAGTAGGGGTTACAGCCTCTCAAAAAATCAAACTTGTGACTCCACACACACTCGGGACACCAAATGGTACAAAATGCCAACGCACCAAGCCCTAAACCGAAGCCTCAGTAACAGTGAAAGCCTAAGAAATCAGGGCAGGTCCAAAATAGGACCATTATAGACTATAGACACTGTCCTAAATACTTTTCATCCACTTCATGCTGCGTTCATCTCTAGGTTTTGCGTCGATCATGCACTTTGTATACTTCATTGTATATATTCACTCTATATTTCGATCCCATTGAATTGTACACTTTTGAAGCTGTTGAAGTTATATCCATTTGCAAGCCCTGTTAGATATAATCTGAACCCTGAAAAAGGTACAACTTCAAGGAGGTCGGAAAATACATCCAACGCTTCTTCCAAGTTGCAAGCAAGACATAACCAAACAATTTGCAAGGATGTCCAAAAATGGAGGGATTAATTTATGTCTTGTCTCGATCATGCACATTGTCAAATTTATTGTACATAATCACTCAATTTTTTCGACCTCCTTGAAAATGGTGTCCGAAAATAGATCCAACAATGTCGCAAAATACAAGTGAGATGTAACTAAACAATTTATAAAAGGCTCCACAAAAAAAACAGCGTGATTTTCGATACTTCTTTCACCTCTCTCTAAGAGCCACTGGTGCTGCCGGTTGTTGTCGCGAAGCGACCTGAATAGAAAAACAAAAAGAATACGGCAAACAATTAATTTGGAAGCTGTTGCAGCTTGACTGCCAATCAACAAAACACCTCATTCACTGGGCTTCAAAAGCGACATCTTCTATGTCTGGGCGATCCAACCGCACAACGTAAGTTTTAGGGTTTGTGCTATGGCACATTGTGCCCTTTTCAACGCTCTCAAGGCTGTAAACTTATTGAGAACGCATCAACAAAACTCCGAGCCCTTGACGGGTTGTTTGAATTGAAAATTATGAGCTGCTGTTCACCTCACAGTCACATGGTTGTTGCACACCAAGTAGCGGTTTCCTTTATTGTCGGGAAGGTTGTGGCCAAGGTGAGTGCCATCGACACTCACAGCCTCTCCGTCTGGGAGAACTCGAACGTAGTCAGTTATCACTTCCTTCCAAGGCAGAAGCGCTAAAAAGAAGGTGTTGAATTCGGTTTGGTCGATTTGGCTGCATATTAGTTGGAGGGGATCGAGAGAGAGATCCCTCACAAACCATAATATAACAGTAACAACAAGAAACAATCATGGAAGGCCCTAGATTCATCATGTCTTTGCTCCTTCAAAACCACAAACATACGCCTTTCATGTTGCTTTGGAGCGATTCCTCGTCACGGAAAGAGGGCCAGCCATGGCTTTGAGATTCCTCCAGTTTGGTCAAGAGACCGGTGTGAGTTCAACATCATTGAAGGAATGCCAAAAAGCTTGGGGAAATAACGCGCAAATCACACAAGGAAACAAACTCTGTCTGCGAGATGGGCTGACGGTGCATATGACCCAGCAAGACGATGTTTTGGGGGTTTGTCAGGTTTGTCGAGTTCATTCCTTCCATACTCTTCAAGGCCTGCCTCGCACACAGGGACTTGAGTTCCAGGTGGACTTACCGTTTGGTGGGGTGTCTGTAGCTTAGAAGCTTCTTGAACCTTTTTTGATCCAGCAATATCTGCATTTGTTCAATGTTTCTTGAAGATGCGCGACGACGCATCAGGATGGACGATGATCCTTGATGACGATGATGATGGCGATGGCGATGGCGATGGCGATGATGATCATGATGATGATGATGATGAGGATGAGGGCCATTAGCTCTCTGGCCCCACCTTGCCCCGCGGTGCCGGGGGCTAGTGCGGCTCTCCCTCGCGGATGGTCTTGGGACGTACCGGGCCTTCTCCCACCAACTTGCAGGACACTACGGGGGATCTCTATTTGGACGCCAGCTTCGACTACCAGATCCTGGTCTACTTGATTCTGATCATCTTTGCTGTTGCGATCATCTTTTGTCTCTTGATTCTGATCACGGACTGCCATAACGGTTCTTCATCTTGCACGCAGGGTTCCTTGAGACCAAGCTGGCGTTCTCAAGGTCTTAGCACCGGGCTCAGAGCTAACTGGGGTGGAAATACAACTTCAGGCGCTCCTCTTCTTTGGACGGCTTTTGGTCTACATCCACGTGAGCACCCTCAACCCCAACGCACCACCCTGGAGGCCCGAGGGTTCTGGGTTTGCAAGCCTAGTGGCCACGGACCCTTATTTCAACGCCTGGAAGACACGCAATTCCCAAGAAGAAATCCTATATTCATGCGCTCAAACAAGCCAGCAACCTCACAAAGACTCCATTGGCACAGCACCTGGGAAACTTCTGGATGGACTCTTGATGATCAATCACCACCATTGAGGACCTTTCAGAACCCTGAACTCTGTGGTCACTGGGCTGGTCTGAAGTGCGGCGCACGCTGATGGACTGATGGTCCAACCTATCTGGGGCGTCTGGGGAACCTGCAGATGTGTCGCAAAGGCAATCATTGTTTTTACGCCAACTGGCCAGAACCCTTTCAACAACCTGAGGTGACTGATTTTGCTCATCATATACTTCAACAGCTCCATCCTCTTTTTCATAGCTGCTCTTGGGAATCTCGGCTGGCGGAAGGAAGTTTTTACAAGGTCGTGGACCAAGGTGCCCGGTGCCCCTTGACACTCTACATCTGCGGAAACAAAAGTCCGCAACACAATGACTTGCAGGGCATGATCTCAACCTGGAGCATGGCCTCGTTTGGTTTGCCCGCTAGATGCTACATGCATCCACATTGGTCGCCTCACCTGGGAAACCAAGGTCTGGCTTCCTTTCTTTGTGAACGACAAGCTGGAGCTGGACAACATCCCCTACCAGGTCAAAGGCTCTCTCACCACCTTGGCTCGAAAGCTGGCAGCGGGCACTACTGGACGGCCATCCTGGCGGGTGGCAACTGGTGGGTCTATGCTGATGACATGGAGTCGGTGCTGTTCCACTGGTGGCCCGAGAGAACTGCTTCTTCTCTTGCTGAACTGCCTACCTCATGGGGGAGCTGAAGAGATCGGGCCAGGATAAGGTGAACAACACCATCCACGATCCTTCGATCAACGACAACTGGCACGCTCAGTGGCTTGGACCTTGACGCTCACATGGCAGTGGCACACCGCTCCTGGTGGGCAAGATCGAGCAAGCTAGCTGATCAATGTGCTGCGAGCTTCATTTCAAAGGCGCACCCCACCCGTTGGCGCGCCTGCCAACCTTTTCACGCCATTGGCATGAATGAGGACTTGCTGTCCCTGCCTTAGGCAGTTTGCGGTTTTGCATCTTGCGTTGCGGTCGTTTCAGCCCACGCAAGCGAAGGCAACGACATTGGCCCGCTTGCTCGACCGCACCGTTTAGCTGATGAGCTGCGAAGGCCCTCCGGGGCGCTAGGCGGACTATAAGGTCCACGCCATCATCGACCTCGATGAGCGCACGAAAGAAAAGATGATGGTGATGATGATGATGAGGAGGAGGAGGAGACACCAAAGCCTCAAAACTGTAAACACAAACAAGCCTCCAACCATAAACCCCAACACCCCTAAAACATGCGTCTCAATACAACTGCAGGCCCCTTGATATATCTTTGCTTAACATTGCAACTCCTCTGCACTCTGCTGAGTAAAATGAGCATTTCCTAACCAGGAACCCGCAAGTTCTTTGTGAGAACACGACCCCTTTCCAACAATGCCCAAATGGAATTTCGCTTGCGCCAACTTCCAAGTTCCTTATTTCGGACACACTGCGAAAAGTTTATTGCGCAGCTATATCCACCGCCCCTGACAAACTCACCCTGGGCGCCCATACCATTCAAACCGTCTTTGGGCGATTCGACTGGACATGTAACATGTAGCTACACGCCGGTACAAACAAGACAGCTTGAGTTTACTCGAAACCTTGCCGGCGCGCAGGGCGGTTGAAGAAGAGATGGGCATGAATGGGATGAGCAGGCCAACGAGCACAGCATTTGAAAGATGCTTTCTAGAAAGTGGACTGGTTTGTTTCCAGCTTGGTATTCTCTAGCCTATCTCCCCTATCTCCATTGCAATTTCTGTAGGCTGTATAAAGAGGGTTTCAAACAGCGCCCGGGCAAACCGCCGGCAAGTTTAATCCAAGAGCTAAGCAAATTTGCAGGGCAATTCAAGGTCAAAAACTTTGTCAACGCACAAAGGCAAAACATGTTTACAATGTTGATGTCTCCTGGTTGAAGTCTTCCCAGCTTCTTCCCTTCGGAGCCACAAAGAGCGGCTTACCTATGCACGCCACAGGAAACAGAACACTGCCAAAATCACACTCCTGAAGACAAGGGTAGGCGCCACAAACTAAAATGAAAGTTCCACTTCTATGATAGTGAATTCTGGAAAACTGCCTCACACATTGCACTGCCAAGTTGGGATTGCTAAGCTGGTTTGCCACACACTGCCACGAGAAGTTGACATCTAAATTTCAACCAAACAAGTCGGTCTGAGTTTGCATTGCAACTATGGCATTATACTCTGCTAGTAACCGGCACCGGTATTGCTTCAACATCACCAAAGACATGTTTGTCTTGCGTCGACACTTGCATATACTCTGGCATTCTATCTCGAACAAATTCTGGCATTTGATGTGGCATTCCATTTGGCACGCTTTCTGGCATTCTATCTGGAATGTAGTCTGGCATTCAATTTGGTACCTTTTGTGGCTTCTATCCGGCATATACAGTATTCTAGCGTTCTGTTTGGCAACTATGTTGGCTGATACTCTATCTGGCATACCTACTCCGGCATTCTATCTGGAAAATATTCTGGCGTTCTATCTGGCATACATTCTGGCATATACTCCTGCATTCTATCTGGCACATATTCTGGCACTCTATCCGGCATACATTCTTGCGTTGGCATATTGTTTTGTTCGCTTTCAATCTGAAATTATCTTTGGCACAAGTTCTGGCGTATCTGGCCCATATTCTGGCAATCTATCGGGCGTCTGGCAATAACTGCTGACATTCTTTCTATCTGGCTCAGGCACGGTGGTGCCCACCCCGATCTGGCGCTCGTGGTTCAGGCCCTGTAGTGCCCACGGCTGAGGTCCAGCGGCGCCCACTGTGTCTACCACTCACGGTTGAGGCCCGGCGATGCCCACGGAGATCTAGCGCTAGAGGTTGAGGAAGATGACGAGGAGGATGAGAAGGAGGAGGACCAGCGAGACACAAAATGTAACAACCCTCACCTGACAAGTGGAAAACACAGATGCTTTCTAGGAGGGCAGCAACCCGTCCAAGGTGCCAGTCACAACGTCATAGAAAGTGATAGCCGATCCAGGCTCCTGACCTTACTTCACGATTTGGTTGTTCAGCCAAAAACTCAAAACATGTGTCTCAAGCTGCCAGCTATGTATTGCAAGGCTGGCACTGGCAATGTCTGCTGGTAGGCCGGTACTTTCCCAAGAGCCTGCGAACTCTGCATAGTGCCGGTTGAAACAGCTAATTCTGTCTGCCTCAGCTGCTTCAGTTTAAGCCATTCAAGCTTCCTGGGGGGCCTTAGTCCTTTGATTCCAGCATGATGTCTAAGGTCTGTTGCATCTTGAAATGGTTGCAAACTTAAAACTTAGATTGAAGGCATGCAAAACATTCCTTTGACCTGGGGTACCAACATCTGGACATATGTGCAAGGCGTTTCTTTCGGCCGAACATAAAGCAACATTGCAAAAGAAGGGACCCATGAAAGCGTGAAATGCATGAAAAGTTTGGCTGTTGAGACAACCATGCACCAACTGAGCACGATTCACAAAGCAACTCCGAAACACCCTCAGTCACCCACTGTTTCATAATCAGCATTCCAGCGCAGTGGCTGCTTGGGGGCCGCGACACAAGTACCATGCGCTTTTTGAGACATGATGTCCTGCATCAATCTGGCAAAGCTTGGACGGCCTTGCCATTGCCCATTTCTATCCTACATGTTGCCACCTGCCAGCTGCAGCCTTGTAAGCTTGACTGGAAGGCACAAATCCAAACTCTGAACCCTGCAAAATGACTGAAACTTTGCACCTCTGCTCAGCGGTCCTCCCCTCCCTTGATTATATCAGGGGCCATGTCACCTCCATTGCTGCCACAGCCCTGCAGCATGCCTAACAAAGCTTTCACATGCGCCTTCATAATCCAAGATCAACCGGATGTGCAACGCGTGCGCCATATATCCAAATAAAATACGAATAAACCTATATATTTTTTGTCGCTTGTTTTGAAACGGGGTCGACCGATGTGAGTTCCTGTCAAGACCCAACCACATCGGCGGGCCCACCCGCCCTATCCTTGGTAGAGAAATGCGGCGTGATCACATTGATCCACTCTGCACAGGCAACAGGGTCATCCCTGCACGCTTCCGTTTCTGATCTTGTTGCTTCTTTGCGCATTTCTCTAAAGTTAACTGAGTGCGCACTGCCGGCTTGGCCTGTTTTGGAACGTGGTCGACCGATGTGAGTTCCTGTCAAGAGGGAAAGAAGTTGCAACAGCTCGGAAATCACACTCAACCAAACATCTTGGTACATTCGCAGCTGGCACATCGCCTGAGTGCGCGAGCTCGTGCGCAGGTCTCTCCCGATTTTACTTTCACGCGCGCGTCAGACAGCCAACCTTCAACAACATGCCATGGAACCTCAACGGGTCTGCACAGTTGCTCTAAAAGGCGATTGTACACATGTCTAGGCAGCCTGTCGGCAGGATTCGACGCCCAAGAAAAGGCGACCACTCAGCGGAGCTGTTTCAACATAGCTCCGCGCGTCCTCAGGCAAGAGCACATGGAAATATCACTGGCCCTGGCAGCTTCATTGTCGACATCTCTGTGAAGCTTGCTCAACACAAAGACGGCAAGAACAGCTGCCATCAACTCTAGTCCTGCAATTTCTTCCTTGGCGCATTCTTGCAACAAAACCATGACCGCAGTGGGAACAACGCTTGCAAAGAAGAACCTGCCCACGACATTTCCTCCGACTACCAGCAACGCAATCATGCCAACCGACCCTAAGGTCGCAGCTCCGGCTTCAGAGATCTTGTCATCACGTAGAAAACTGTCGATGTCTGCCAGTAACTGTTTTAGTTGCCCTGAGGAGACGGTCGTCTGTAGATCAAACACAACCGCCAGGGCAGAGAAACTGTTGTGAAAAGGCAACCTTTTGCTGACCTTCTCAGAAAAACGCCGCCCAACCAATCGAAGCAACCTTTCCGCAGTTGCCTGCGCCCACTCGTCCCCAGCCATCAAATCGAGCTGGTGGAAATCATCATAATAGTTGGACCAAATTAAGCCAAAAGCCTGGCCCCAATCAATTGCAAAACTTTGGACAGTTTGTTGAAACCGTACACGCTGGCAATTACTCCAAATGGGACAACTTGTGATATGAACAACCGTCGTTGGCCCTCCGGGCTGTCCTGTCCACCGCCAGCACATTGCACCAAAGTGAAGACTTTGCCACCAAGACTTGTTCATAGGCGGCCTCCACGTCCAGGGTACGACTGAAAGTGAGCTATGCAGAACACCTTTCTGGCGGCTGCCATCCTGCAAAGTCAAGGAAACTGTTCGGTCAAGGGCACTGGCTCCCATGAAGGTTCGCGCAAGAACGCTGACGCCGTCGACCCCATCAAGGTCCAACTTGTAGCTGGATCCAAAGGCAGAATTCACAAGACGTTCGCTCAGATTGTCGATTTGTCGGACTTTGTCGCTTTGGTGAAGGCCAAGCGGCCCGTCATAAGGACCTTGAAGCCAGCCCTTGTCAACCTCCTCCATGGTGATGCGCCAAACTTCATCCGCGACCTCAGTGTCAGCAGCTGCAAGATCCTTCTTCAAGATCATCCGACAGGACCATCTCGACGACTTCATGAGCTGTTTGTCGGTCAGGGCAGGCATGCGTCTCATGCTCCGTGTCTCCATCTTCTCCTGTCGAGCTCACACCTTGGAGCTGTAGCTTGCGTATCTCTTCACCAGCCAGACCCGCATCGCGGCACAACTCGTTGACGAGCAGGAAGCGCTTGCCAGAAACTATCTTCTGGCGGTCTTCATCAAGCTGTGAACGCAGAAAACCTTGTTCATACTGCAACTTAATTTTTCTACGCTCGTAGTACTGGAACAAAAGATCAGTCTGCTTGCGCCTGAACTCCAGTCCCTGTGTCAGCAAAGCGAAAATGTTTGCAGTCGCCCACACTTGTGGAACCATCAAAAGGATGTTCCCCCCTTTGGCAGGAAAAGGCACCTGCAGGGCATGGCATTGTTGCTGTGTCAGCGTTTGGTTGATGGTGACATCCACTCCTGGAGGGGCTAGTGCGTCCAACTGGTTGCAAAACTCTGGAATTAGTGGCGGAAACCGGTTGCCACGTGGGTGTTTGCCTGCAGAGGCCATTGCAAGTGGTGTGGATTTCAGCTTCTTGGAAGGTGGCTGAAGAGCCACATTCATTTTGAATACCTCTGTCCAGGGCTAGCTGGAAAACAAGGTCAGCAACCTTATTGCAATGTTGGGGATAGGCAGCTTCGTCATCTGTAGCAAAAAGTTGTAGTTTTCTGGACGCCCCATGGCTTGTGAGCATGACTTTTGTCACACGTGGCGCGCAGCTCGTCAAAGCCGGTCGCCAAGCGTACCAACTGGACCCCTTATCGCAGTCACTTCCCCACATGCGTTGCTGAAACGGCACTTCATGAACAAAGCAGTCACGGCTGAGTACTTAAAAATTGCAGGAAGTTTCCCACACGTAGCTTCGCGTGGGATTTCCACGGTGACCACTGCTCCGCTGGAAATCGCAAGCCGCAGCAACTTAGCTATGCACTTGTAAATGTCATTGGCTCTCTCAACCCGAATACGATCTTGCACTCTCAAGCGTGGCAAACCGTGAGGAAAAGCTGAGCTGCGTAATGGTTGGGGGGGGCTCTGGGGCCCCCAATCGTCGCAACCTTTTGGGCAACTTGCGCTCCCACGCTTTGCTAGATGTGCCGCACGGTGGCGCTGCATGCAGGTAAAGCACAGCCCCAGAACTCAGAAGATTGGCAATGAACTGATAACCTTTTTCACTGGCGAGGTCAATGCATATATAAGGGTGACACTGCCTATGTCGATTTTTGACATGGTCTACAGCAACTGCTCTGACGCCTTTGGTAGCCAAAGCGGCAGTCAAGCGAGCGCTGCCTGCCCACGCGCAAAGTTCAATGGTGACAAGTTCAGAGATGGGGCATCCCGCAAAGCATTCGGACACCTCTTCTCTTCGTGACCCGCTGTGGGCCACTTCCCATGGTCACGTTGGGAGTGGGGTTGTTCGCATCCCCACTTAGTGCACAGGCGCAAGGGCTTTGGCAGCCCCCACAGTTGAAGCTGAAGCGCAAAGGTTCACCGCTGCTTGTGGTTGCAGTCTGGCCCGAGAGCTCCTGCGGCATCTTGACGGCGCTGGTAAACCTGCCACCTTTGTTCTTGCCTTTGCCTTTTGATTTGCTCTGGCCTTTACGAAGGTTCCGAAGCTGCCCTTCGAGGTGCTGGATCTGCCTCATCATCTTGTCGGGAAGGGCTGGTCTTTGCTTTCTTGCCCGGCTCGAAATCATCATCCACGCCACGCTTGTTCGAACCTGACGCCCCTTGCAAAGGCTGCAAGTGAAGTCGAATCTCCGGCGCTGCCAGCCCCTTTGCCAAAGCAGGACGCCATTTCTGGGCTCCTTCATGAGGCTCCATGTCGGCATGGTGAACTTGCTCAATGGAAACTTTCTTGTAGCCATCAGGTGGTGGAGACGTAGACGCCTCCAGCAAAACTTGCGACCATCTCTCAAACTTGTCGTAGTCCACCAAGCGGGCTACGCTAATGAGCGGCGCTGCAATGCATACTTGAGCTTGAGATCTGACGCAATGTCAGCCTTGAACTCTTCTTGGACTTTTCACCTCGCGAAACACACCACTGGAGTCAGGGGGCAGCCCCATCAGCTCCTGGTCCCTCTTGGTGGCCTGCTCCCAACGCACATACTTGAGTTGATTGTCCTCACTCATCTGAAAGACCAAGTCGATCAAGGAGTGAGATGCGTCCGTTTCACCACTCAGTTCTAAGCCACGAAGACGTAACACCTGGGCTTGGTGCCCCAGCGGCACGTTCGGCTTGCGCTAACTTGCGCGGTGCATCTTCCTCCTTTCTTTCCGCTCGAAGTTTCAGATCTGCTGCAGCTTGCGCGCACGATTCGAACACGAGCCTGCGAATGAGAGGGAGCTGTTGAGGAGGAGGAGGTGACTGTTGAGTGACCTGCTCTGCAAGAGTGATAAGAGGCCCTTCATCCGTTTGTCCAGGTCTATAGTTGCTAGCAAAAGCCAACTTGCCATAGGCATTCCATTCGAGCTCATCAAGTCTCTTCAAAGTGGGGCCACCCAGGCCGATTTCGACAGCCCTCGCTTTGAAAACTGCATTGGAGTCCAACATCTTGACCCACCGCTGCTTCAGAGAAAAACAAAGGTTGAGACATAAAAAGTGCGTCCCAATGAGCGCTCGACAAAGCTTCAGAAAAGACAAAGAAAAATTCTGCAGACCTGAAACCAAAAGAAAGACGCAAACATGGAAAAGTTGCGCGAACCGCCAAAGCTGCAGAAAACTTCTTGCGTGAACGCGCGACATCCTATTAGTGATACTTCATCACAGCATGGAACACACTTCGTGTTCCCGCCTTGAACCTGCCTCACATGCGCAAACTTGAAAACATGGTTTCATGAGCTGCATTCGGCACTAATCACAGACAAAGGAGGAATGCCAACATGTGAATGCATTAGCTCATGAGACAACACCTGCCTCTTGCAGGAAGCGTGCGCATACTTTTACCTTCCCCAACAGAGGATACACATCGGCCACGCCGACTCGGGATCACTCTTGAATACAGAGTAGGATTCATTATTCACACGCCCACAGCACATCTTGCGCACGTCATTGACATGGGCACAGTGAAGCATCTTCGCGCGTACATGCTGAAAATTTCTGGTCATATCCGCGTGGACGTTCACATCTGCGTACCTCTGACTCTGGACACCATGCTCAACCTTCGCCATAGCCTCTTCAGCCGATGCGCTGCCAGAATCACTACTCGAATTTTCAATGTGGTCATCACTATCTGAATCGGAGACGGTGGGTGTCTCCGGAGCATTCTCAAGCCGCTACATCCAAGGTCTTGTGGGCCAACAGGTCCATCCATGCCATCCTGTCGCGGAACTCCTTACGAAAATCTTCATCAGCTGCGCGCAGGCCACCAATGATCTCGGCTGCTTCACTCAAACTGAGGAGCACGCCATGGGAGAATTGGCCTCTCACGTCAACCGCATGGTCTGAAGTCGCAAAATGCCTGTCACGCGTGGCTAGAGGGCTAAAGAGGCCCCTTCGCACACTTTCCAGCATAGCCATCATGGATCGGACTGGCAAGGGCATTTCTGCTGTAATTCAATGCAGAAGCATGACCCTTCACCATATTCCAGCATCACAGTGGCCTGCGAAGGGAACGAAACGAAGTTGTTCTCAGTCGTCTCAGGCCCTCTGGGATGTCTGCCAGACCTACTCACGTCGTGAGTGAGCGAGACAGTCGAACCAGCTGAAACCTAGTCGGGATTATCACAGGCAGGAAACGCGATTGATTGTTTCTGCGTTCTCGCGTTCTTCACTCTACACAGGTTTCCTTCGAAGTAACCGCCGAGCACTGTTCCATTCCTCACTCTGTTGCAATCGCTGACTCTGAGTTGACCGTACAATGCAAAGAGGCACAAGCCTGCGCTGCCCCTGGGTCGAATACAAAAAGGCTACACAACTCCAAACCAAGGATTGCAATAATGTCCAATGGCGGGGCTTGTCTCAAAGCCCGTTTCTGCAAGAAACAGCGATGGACTGCTCCTTGAACACGTTGTGAGGCAGACACCTCCTCTGCGCCCTTCCAGCCAAGAACAGTTCCAGCAAACAGAGACCGACGACAGGAAGGTGTGTGCTCTGGTAGGAGGTTTCATTGTTTCACGCAGCATGGCAACATAGTTGCGCGCAGACTCTTCACTAAAGGGTATAGCAGGTTCATCTCCAATAGAATTGCAATGCTTGAAAAACATCGCAATTGATCTGGCTCGAACGGTCAGTGTCGATGTGGACTTCTTTGCAACCCAGTCTGTGATTATCTGCAACCTTCTGTCTTCGTCTTCGGGTTTTGCAGTCTCAGCCAGTAAAGCTTGTCCCAGCTTCGATTTGCCAGGGAACTGCAAAATCAGATCCAGCCATCGCACGATCGCTTGCATCCTAGAAGCTTCTACCGTCTTGGTGGCTCGATCGAAAACACATGCGCGCGCAACCAAACTTTCTCATGGATTCCATTTGCGAAGCTGATCTTAGGACTTCCCGTTGGCGGCAAATCACGAGGGGTCAACACAGGCGTTTAACCATGGCAAAGCACCTACATCGGGAGACCCCAAAACATCTTTGAGGAATCCCTCACCCCAAGGCATCTTAGGGAAACACATGAAGGCGATACCGGAATTCAAAGCAACTTCCAGGGATCGGTCAACAAGATCAGAAAGAAGGGAATCCCTGGCAGAAGAACGCACTTCTTCTTCTTTATTAACATCATCGGTACCCCTCGATCTCGGCGTTACCCAACCACATCGGTGGGCCACACCCGCCCTACCTTTCCTACCCTTGGTAGAGAAATGCGGCGTGATCACATTGATCCACTCTGCACAGGCAACAAGGTCATCTCTGCATGCTTTAGTTTCTGATCATATATCAATATAAATATATATATATATTTATGTATATATATTTATACAAAAATCCACATACATATATGAGCGAATTGAACATGTGACGCAAGACATTCAGAGCACCTTGGAAATGAGTTGATTGTCAGGCAAGGCACATCCAAATTCTCAACACATTCTACTCTGCACCCCTTTGTAAACGGAAGAAATTAACCTCTCGTAGCATCTTCATAGGCTTACAGCAGAGCCTACTTGAAAATGGTCAACAAAATCCTCCCATTGCGTTCCGCTATTTCGAAGCACACGTGAACCAGCACCAACTGTAGGCCTCTCTAGCTTTAGCTGGGAGAGCAATTCCTGCTTGGGAATGTGGCCTGTCTTGGTTGAACCAGGGGCGGGTTGCACTTGCCTGGCCTTCATTGCCGCCTGTATAAGGCCCCAAAATGAAGCCAAGCACAACGTCAGGAATGTATCTGGTTAGTGGGCAACATCCGAGCATTGGGTCAACATGGACGGCTTGTGAGGCCCAAAGGCCCCAAAGGCGGGCTCGGGCATCGTCAGACTTGTGTTTTTTTATCCAAATAATCAACGTTCAAAAATGATTCATCCCTTGCTTGAACACATTTGGGACTCAGAGTCGGAAGATACAGTGCGTCGGCAAACGTGGTGGGTCAAAATGGAGTCAAACCTGTATTTGCACTTGCGTGCTATTTATACCTTTTTGAAGTTTTCATCCGACCAAAAAAACGCAATCATTAAATGGGTCGACATTCTTATCACAGAACTTGCTCCATTGCTCAATATAGTTCCAAGCTGCAAGTCGCTCCCAGCCCCAACAGCAGGAATCGGACGTCCCATCCAGGAAATAACATGGCGCTCATCACGTGTGAAGGAACCAGATTGCGTAATCTCTTTTGTTGTGTATGGCAATGTCTGAATCTGGAACATTTGTTGTTTCGTGTCTTCGAAGAGCTTTAGTCCACTCCAGTCCCGTCCGGTCCAGTCAGTCTGCTTCAACATGAAACCTGATATTATTGCGAAAACCCGAAGTGGTAAGGTTGACTGTGATGTGTGGAGCAACACTGGGCACTGTAGATGCGCGCGCATCAGCTTTGCTTTGGCACATAGGATCCAAACCGCAAACAATCGTCCGCTTCTCTCCGGCTGGAAAAGGTAGGTTGGGATCAGTAGGGGCCGCACATCAAGAAGACTAGAATGCGTTCGCAGTGACTAAAATCAACAAACAGTTTCAATGGCCGTCTTGATTCTCTTAACCGCGGAAGACGCGTTTCCGGCCAAACTGGTTTCTAAGTCCAGGCCTCTTGCCGCTTGACACAGCACCATATCCGGCCTTTTTCGACCATCGAGCTGCGAAACAAAGTAGCAAAAACAATGCAAACCGCCGTAGCCACTACCTTTATTAATGTGTTTGCGCTAACGAAAAACAAAACATCCGTAACGAAGTGTGAGGCGGAAGTTGTCACCAAGCCCTGGTCCCCTCCCCTGTAGTGCACCTTGCCACGTGTCCTTCTCGGGCCTGATGCAAGCGTTCCACAACGGTTTGGTTCTAGTAAACATGCGTTTTCAAATTCTATCAAGAATCAAATTTTCAATGAACTGAGTCCTCAAATTCGGCAAAGCTTGGACGGTGCAACTTGCGCCTCGGTCAGTCTCCAAGGCACGCGCAAGCAAGGCATCTGCCTCTGGCTCCTTGGGCCACAACAAGGGACAATATGCCCAGAAAAAAATTGAAACCCTACAAACGGAAGAGCAATCCACACCTTAGAACAATTTTATTGAACCTGCTGGGTGGCCCCAACATCCGTCGTGCCAAGTGGAGAGATTTTACCATCAACCATATAAGCATGGTGCTTTCTCTAAAGTTTCGTGGTGTAAATGCTGTCTTACGGAGTCTTTTTTGCGCCGAAAGGTTTTCGGTACACCTCTAATTTGCGCGCCAGCTTCATGATCACGTCTTGCGCGCAAACCGGGTTCGTGACATGAACGCGCTCGCTCATGTTAACTTCCCGACCGAACAGCCGTTTCATACTTGCAGTCAACCTGCTGCACACGTTGTTTTGCATGATCACTGGGACGGGAGCAGAGAAGCTCCTGGTGGTGGAGGCCTAGGTACAGGGCCTTGAAATACAGGCGCAGAGCCCGAAGCTCAACTGCACCTGAGGTGAGCACCGGCGCCACTCCTGAGGAAGACAGCGAGGAAGGACAAGCCCAAGAAAATGAAATTCGAAGCATGGAGAGCAGACAGGAGTAGAGCCAACATTTGTGGTGAGGTAGGGCAAATGGAAGCGCATCAATTCATCAATTCGGCGCATCAATTCGGCCATCCCGCGCGCCTCCTACACCGCCTGCCACGGGGATGAGGTTCAGAGGTTGACAACAAGAAGAAGGCAGGAGAATCTGGTCCGCGTGAATCAGCTCAAGGAGGCGGCGCTAGAGGACATTCCGTGCGGAAAGTGCCTGGTTGATCATCGTCCAGAGGCAGGAGGAGAATACGAGCTAGGCCGATTGAGAAGACAGGCCGAGCTGCCAGAGAAAGAGGAGAGAAAACAAGAGGAGGAGATGCTCCCTTCCTGGTCACACGGGAGTTACGGGAAGGGAAAAAGCCAAGAAAAGAGGCCGAGAAAGACGCAGAGAAATCCAAGAAGAAGAAGAAGAAGAAACGAAAGAAGCGCCGCCTCAAGATCGACGGAACGAGGATGTGTCCGCCGTGTTCTCCAACACAGGGCTGGGCCCCAATCCGGAAGTTCGCCGTCGAATGAGAAAGAAAGCGAAAACAAACATACGGAACGCGGCAGGAACCAACGCCGATCGTCATCCTCATCCCACAGCAGCATGAGCAGCGCAAGCAATCAGATCGAGGGCGACGAAGAACTGTTTGGGGCCGGTTCTGGCGGTAGATGGTCAGGCCCCTGCATGCCAGATGTGAGCGCTTTTCTGGCATATTGGCTATAGGAGGCGCCGTAGCTTGAAGGGTGTCCCCCCACCTGAACAAGCAACCTCTGGCGGGCATCGGCGATCATCGCGCTTGCGAGGCTTCTTGAGTCGTGATGGAGCTTCTTCGCGCCGAAGCTGGTTCCCCATCATTGTGCGTTGGCAAGCGGGTAGATGCGCGCGGCCAGCGTCAAATGAAAGTTCCACGTTGCTGTTAGTTGCTTCCAGCCATTTTCCTCGCGATGAACCATCGAAGGCCGGGAAGTCAGTTGGCGCAGCACCAAGATCTCCGAGAAGAAGAATGATAGGAGACCGTCCGTGTTCCTTTGTCGCCCTCAGTCTTGTTCTTTCCCGTCTCCGAATCTTTGCCCCCTGCTCTGTTGTACGCCTTGCACTCTTCGTTTGCGAATCGGCCTGCCCTCCAAATCTCTCCCATCGACGCCACAGATGTCTTTTCTGGCGGAACAAGCTCCAAAGCCCGGAGAACATCGCTGCGCGCTCCTCTTCCCACGCAGGCCAGGTCGGCTCCTGCTGCGACGCGGCCGGCCCAAAGGTCAACTGAATCGTTGCCACTCTGAAGGCAACCCTTTTTCCTTTCCCCTTTTGACTGATCTCCTTTACACTTCACACTTCTGCTTTCCTCCCTTGCCTTTACTCCCCTCTTCATCATCCTTCATCTTTCCCTGGTGTCCTTCTTGATTGCTCGTCCTCCTCCTCCTTCTGCACTTCCACCCTGACTGGCTGCGGCCGCTTGGGCTGCATGTCTGGCAGCCTGACCTGAGGCTATCAGAGCCTGCGACTCCAGCCAGTATCGTCGACTGACCCAACCATCTCCTCCGCAGAAAACACATGGAGCCCGATGTGAGGTCAGGGTCGCGGCCTCCAGCCCGCTGGAGCTCAAGGGTGACTTTTACCACGCGGACCTTTCCTGACTTGAGAGGTCTTCGGTACACTTCTACTTTGCGCGTGTCAACTTCATGATCATGTCTTCACGCAAACAGGGTCTGTGACATTAGTGCGCCAACTCATCTGTCACAGTTCTGGGTCGATCGTCAAAGAGCTTGTGAAGGGTATCAGAAGCTGTATGAAGCTGCAGAGAAGCATGCTGCATCAAACAATAGCCATACGCATATTGTTAAATCATGTTAAATCACACCTTTCTAGGGCTAATTCCCAACAATTCATGACCCACTCTGCGCTTTTTGTGCGCCAAACAACTCTTGCAGGCCCTTACATGGAACAGGCGTGCCTACACAAGCCGTCCACAACAAGTTGAGCTGCAAAGGAGAAGACAAGGGTCATTCACCAGTCCCCATAACCTGATGTCTTCCTAGCTTCAGGGTGTGTTGAGACAGAGTGTGCCTTGCACAAGGAGAAAGGAATTGCACTTTGATGCAAAGCGGGTTTCTTGTCATAACATTACGAAAATCGCGATTCTTGCGACGTGTGGCAGTGTGGATCCATCTGACCTGGTGTTGTTGGTGATGAATTCAAGGCTATCCGCTATCCATGTGCGGGCTCAGTGTCGCTATACTCAACAGGCTTTGTCTTTCCCTATTTTTCCATTTATGAAATGGAAGAGACGATAAACTAGTGAGGGATCTGAGTGTTTGGAGTCCTCATGTAGGCTTCTTGCAGCATCACATAGTGAATGATTGACAACTTGCTGGGCAACCAGCTACAAAATCCTATGGAAGCATCCGAACAGCTATATGATAACATGTATATAAGTCCTACACATGCCGTCAAGCTGATCTTCGCATCTTAACAAATCATAATCATAAGACATCTCCCAACGCAAAAAGATAGAAACAATTGCACAATGCAAAACATAATGCCAAAAGCCATATGCAAATAGACTACAACTGTGGCCGAGATGCATTAAAGTTTGTGCCGTTGCCCGAGGGAGGCGACACTGGCCTAAGCTCAGCTCCGATAGCTTGGAGACTGGCCCTCCATGTCTTCATTCTCTGAACATTGTGCAATTTGCAAAGTTAAAACAAGAAAAAAACTTGCAGCAAGCTAAGAACACCACAGCAGCCAGAGGAGAATCCAGTCTCCAAGAACAGCTCTAATCTGAAGAAATCCAGTCACTTTCACTCTGTTTGCAGTCATATGTGACCCAAACAATCTTCAGAACAGAAAATAGAGAAAGCAAAACATGTTGCACACGTGCGCAGAAAGCTGGACCATTTGCAAGGTAAGGAGCGTTGCCATTGATGCCGCGGTCATGTACAGAGCTGCCATAGCCTTTCCCATCGTGCATGATTCGGCAACGTCTGCTTTATTCTGTCATGTTTTGGATGAAGTGTTGTACTGACTGAGGGCGCTCGCTCTGATTTTTTGTGTTCTTTTCGCAGAACTCAATCGTAGTCATGGCCTGTCGTCAAATACCAATCTTCAATGCATCTTTAAACGGTCTACCATGTAGAACGGAAAGCACATCAGGGAAGGACTAAAAACCATCTTGGGCGTGTTGGTATCTGACTCTCTTTGCCACAGTGAAATCTACAAGAGTTACTTCAGCAAGATCTTATCATGGTAAGTTGGACCCCCGAAACATCCAACAATACCAGTCGCTTGCAACACCAAAGGAGCATTAGAAGCACCTTTCTGAAACACGATCATTGGAAAATGCGGCGCTGTTTGCACACATTTAACGCTCTGCGATACTGATGATGTTAGTAAGGCTGCTAAATAGGTATGAAACGAATTCCATGCCACCAGTTTGGCCAATGGAATTGGTTGCTAAGGTGTTCACCTGCAAACTCATCTCAACAAACAGGACAACTAAGCCTGAAAAGTCAGCCATATATGGAAGAAGAAGAAAAATGTAATCCTTGGTTGATGTGAACAGGCACAAGCACAAACACTGAATCGCTTGATTTTCGAGTTGAATACAAGAGAACTTGACCGAATGTGATACTATTTGCACAAAGCTTCAGGATACCCAAAAAAGCGGAGAGCGTCTCCGCGAACAGAACCAAAAACCTGAGCAAAGCAGTTGCTGGCACTAGCATTTACTCAAACAAACAAACTATGTCCAGTTTGAAAGAAGCATGCTTTATAAAATTCATTCCTTTGGATGAGACTGTGATGCAAACTAGGCTGGCTGGGCTGTGTGCATCTGGGCAAAGGCAGAATTCTGCTGCACTGCGCTCTCCACAGTCCTGGGGGCTGCGGCACGAATCTAATCTTCGTCTGGACAGCGCCAGCATTGAAGAAACGCTCTACCATGCCAAAGAAAAGAGGTAGAACGACCTGAGGACCCAGCGGTATCATTGTGATTGTAATGAAATTGCATGCTGACGCTGAGTAGAGCAACAACAGGAAGAAGAATTTATGATTCCTGGCGAGAAACTTTGATGACCGCAACACGAGGCTTCTGATGAAAAGAAGTCGCAATGAGACCAGTAATGGCAACGTGGGATTAATAAACGGTGACCACACCCCTTCAAGGTCAACAAGGTCAACAAGGTCTAAGATTGGAGGCATTGGAGGGCCACATCCCCTTAATAAAGATGATCACCTCATGATGATGGATGATGAGATGAGGACCTGGACCTGATGATGGATGATGGTTGATGGGATTCTGTCATGAGAGGTTGAACCATGAGAACCATGAGAGCTCTGAGTGTATTGGCACAAGTTTGATAAGAGATTAGCTAGGATTGATCAGCATATCAGAGAATGGAGGATGAGGAATGGGAGGTGGAGGCTATTTCTGGTGAGGGTGGATCCATGGACTGGATGGTCTGATGATTGGTGGCCTGTGGAGGATTGGTATGACCTTATGGCATATGATTCCCAATGGGAGAGGGATCAAAAGATTAGAGATGAGTACAATAAATAGTATGGGCATTCCAGTATGGAATCGCAGATGGTGAGATGATGAGGCATTGGCTTGATAAAATTGGCGCCATTGTTGATGGATTGGGGAATCGGGTGGGTGAAGCAACTAGCATGGTGTTTGTGGGATGTATTCATCCTTTAGTGGGCAATCAGTGGTGGAATGCATGGTGGAAATCAGTTTGGGAACCTGCCGGGTGCACCATGGGTTGGCGCTCATTGTGCGTAATTTGCTATTGATGGAGCATATTTAGGCCCAAGCTATTGGTTTAGTGATGTATCGAGCCATGGTGCACTCAGCAGAAGAGATGACCAATGATGGGCATTTTGGTCTTGCCTTCAGCATGAGGACAATGGTAGTTACTTATGAGGAAACAGTTGTATGAGTTCATTGGTCAATGAAAACCTTTTTTGAAACTATGCAAAGCTTGGGTCTATTTACCTTGGATAAGAAGGCACTATGCGATGGCATTGAAGTCGTGATGACCGTGGGTTCAATTATTTCCTCCATTGAACGCAGATTGGACACAAGTGGAGGGCTCATCAGGGTGTCAAACAACGACAGTGGAAACGGAGATGCGGGGCAGCTCAACCAACTACGAACACGGTCAAAGAAACCTAGGGGCTAACTACACCGATGCACGATGCGATCGGTCAACAACTGTTTTCATCTGCGAGACTCAAGGCCTGCGGTATGCGGCCATAGACATGGTTGAAGGAAGGGCATGACATCACAGTCTTGGTTGTTTCAAAGCTTCACAGCCCCCCAAAAGAAGTGGTTCCTTCAACCAGTCTTGACTTCACCGGCTTTCCGATTGCCTACCACGCCTGAGAACGTCTGTCTCCTGCTCGATCTGGAAGGTGCAGTCTGACAGCATTTGGAGCAATGGCAAGGTGTGTGCTCCATCCAGCTTGGTCAAAGCATTAGCTATTAGCTGGATTCACATTATGGGGAATCCACCTTGGCCGGCTGCAGTGCAAATCAAGCTTTCCTTGATGATGGCCACTTCCAAGGCTGACCTTTCGTCTTCTCCAGCTGCTGCCTGATCATTGTTGATCGAGTCATACAGGGCTTTGGCGTCCATGATGGTGACTCCATCAGGATCTCTACAGGCGGCAGCTTCTGACGCAATCACATGTGTCTTTCCAAACTTCTCCAACACCTCATCTTCTGACCGCTGCTTGGACCTCGGTGAGAAGTTTGAGAATCTCACCGATTCCATGAAGGCACTGCCTCTCTAGCGATCCCGTGGCAGCTGACATGCTGATCGCCTCACACAGCAAGGAGGACGCGACGCCTCAAGGGGCGTGAACGCCACTGCATCAAGCTCATTGGGGGCCTTCTTGCCCAAGTTCAGCTCTGGGGTCGTGAAGCCCAGGAGGAAGCCAAACTGCGAGCGCTCTTTGCCCGAAGTGTCAAAGGCGGCATCCGCCACGAGGAAGTGTCGGAGGCGCTCCTCCTCGATGGCATGGATCTTGAGCTCCACCGGATGCATGTTGCCATGACGCACCAGGTCATTCGCTGCCATCAGGCGGCTCACCTTTGGAGTTGGAAAGGACAAAGCGATGATCGAAGCACCTGCTGAAAGGTCAGGTCTGGACTCACGCGACAGCCAGTTTAGCGATGCAACGAGCCCTCTCAGCTGTGTTTGTTCGCTGGGGACAAGTCCACTGCTGCCGCGTCTTTCTTGAGCACCTTCCGGCTGAGTTTGATGGGTTCCAGCCGGGTATAAATGAACTCTTCCATGTTGATGCTGAAGCTGTAGTCAGGAAGTTGCCTGATGAATCTTCCAGCATAGTTGGAACCCTCAGCACCATAGAGCTCATCAATCTTTCCGAACTTCAAGATGCTTTCCATCTTTTTCGTCAAACCTTGGCGCTTCTCTCCACCACCCTTGACAATATCGTCGACCTCAATAGTCATGAAGCCTTCAGTCTTTGCCTTTGGGTGAGTGGAGCCTGAAGGAAGCGTCAGCACACACTTGTCATACGGGTTTAGGACATACCCGAGTTGCTATCTCTCCTGGGTTGGCCGGACTCCTTATGATCATCAAGCTGATGGATCAGGCCAACCTCGAGTTTGCAGCGAACTGGCTCGGCGCTCGAACCTCGCTCCTCGAGATCCGCAAGCAGGAAGAGCAGACGCAGAAGGCTCGCAAGAAGCTAGATGCCGAGAAGGCGGCGCAAGCAGAGAAGCAGAAGATCAGACGTGGCATCGGCCGCCCTTTGACTCGGTCGACCGCCTGCAAAGCTGGCAGTGAACCTGCGGCCTCACGAGGAGAGCCACGCAGCCACATGCGCCATCGAGCAGGACGAGGTCAATTTTGGTGGACCTGTCTAGGATGTGGCAGTCGACGGGCTCGGTTGGAAGCTGCAGCAGACGCGCCGCTCAACGAGCAAGGAGCATCATCTTCCAGCACGATGGCAAGCTCGAGCAACAGCACCACGCCCCAGACAGTGTTGTGACCGCGCCAGCAATTCAGTGGCCTACCCATCAGTGCTGCCCGGACCTCGCTATCGCCCCGATGTGGGAGCCTTGGAGTTGAAGGAGGGTCGGAACACTCGGGTGTTGACTCCAAACCACACCCCGAGCCGTGCAGTGAAGAACAGTCCATCCTCAAGACCAAAGGGAGCATGGCAGTGGCGACGGCGCCTCCAATGACGTCGATAGCATCCCTGACTCCTCGCCGGAAGTCGATGACCAGTGGAGTAGCCGCTTCCAGTGGCCGATGCGGCGTTCCGGAGAGGGGTGGTGAGTTTTCACCTTCTCCTCGATCTTCACCTTTAACTTCTGCTCGAACTCCTCCTTTTCCCTTTTGACCATCCATTGGGAAATCTTGTTCTTGAACTGCTCGCTCATGAGGAGGATGGTGCACAATCGGTGACGTTGCTTGAGCAGCAAGGTGCACTGGAGAAACACGCTGAGTAGGCTGACCACGTGAAGGCGAAGACAAAACTTGATTTGATCGTTCCCGTGGGGTGCGCTTGTTGCAAGCACACCCTGCGGGCTTGATCAAATCTGAAAAACGTGCATGCTTCGAACATTGCTTTGAAGTGCGCTGCAACTGCTCCCATGACTGATCCAATGACAACTGCACAGGTGAACAATGACCACTCTTGCTCTTGGGTGACCGGACGTCCTGCTGATCGCCAAATCGCCCCGCTGAGGCCATCGCCTGAGAACCAATGCTTCAGGTCTATCCAATGGTCGAAGTGCTCTAGCTATCTGGTCGAAGGTGAGCAATGCATTGTATCGAATGGCAAGGTTTTCCCTTTGCTGTTCTGTCAAATTGGCGCCTCGAAGCAACACGCGCACTTCCAGCGATCTTTGGACGGACACGTTCTCCAATCTGGGCTTCCAGGATCTCCTTTGGAGCGATGTAAGCGCTAAAATTCTCATCCCGAGCACGCGACACCCCGTAAAAGAAATGGTCAACTGCTGCAGGGCCAATTGCTTCAAGGTAGGGACCATATTTGTTGATGATCTCAGACAAGATGGTGCCATATCCAGTGTCCGACAAAACTGTTGCTAAATCAACTGTCTCTGCAATCTTCCTTGGAGCACTACCGGCACTACCTTCAGGGAATGATTAATGATTGCAACAACTTGCTTCCCCATCGGCTCTTGGGAAGGTGATTGTCCAACTCCCAATACGCAAGCTGCCGAAGCCATGCTCAACTCCGCCAGTCCATTGTGGCAGGCCCTTGCGCTCTCCACTGAGGGCAGCAGTGAGTGCCTTAAGCATCAACTCGCTCTGCTGAACCGGACTGGTCGGAGAGGAGGGTCCTTGGGGCAATATGGGCCTTCCAAACAACTCGAAAGCACTGCCGACAGGTCGTTGCTGTGTGGATGGATTGCCGGATGAATCGAGCTGTCGTAGCAGGTTTTCAGCTAACCCTGCATTGCTTCCACTGCCAAGCCAATGTAGTTCCTTGAGAAGTCTGTCCACAAGGCTGCTGCTGTTGTTGTTGCATCCATTGTTGATTCAACGGACTGCTGGAAAACATTGGGCTCATGTAAGGTCTTGGGAAGCTCTGAAATGGAGGTGCCTGTCTATCACCCGCAGTACCCTGCGGGTTGCCATGGACACTAGTTCCAGTACCCAGCGACTGCGGCGGCTGCGACGGAGTTCCGAGGCCAAAACCAGGTCCTTGCACCGAGGAGGTCGAGGATGGAAAACAAGGGCCTTGCTGCGTAGCATATGTACCCAAACCACCTGCTCCAACAGTAGTCGATCCAATGGGGGATTGCACTCCTCCCACGGATCTGAACCAGGTCCAAGCCAAGGATCCATTGCGACCGCTGAACCTCCGCAGAGCTCCGCTACCACTGTCAAACAACGACAGTGGAAACGGAGATGCGGGGCAGCTCAACCAACTACGAACACGGTCAAAGAAACCTAGGGGCTAACTACACCGATGCACGATGCGATCGGTCAACAACTGTTTTCATCTGCAAGACTCAAGGCCTGCGGTATGCGGCCATGGACATGGTTGAAG